GACCTTGTCAGCTTACAATCCCTTATTATTTTTTTTTAATTTTTTATGCCTACAGCACCTGGTCTTCCTAGGTGGTCTCCCGTCCAAGTACTAACCAGGCCCGACCCTGCTTAGCTTCCGAGATCAGACGGGATCGGGCTTGTTCGGGGTGGCATGGCCGTAGACTTGACTAATTTAATCCTTACAACGACCCTATGAAGTCAAGTAAATTGCCCAAGATAACCTTGCTAGTAAATTGTAGAGCCAGTATTCAAACCCAGGCAACCTGGCTCCAGAATTCACACTTTTAAACCACGACTTAATGCTGCCTCCCTTCTCTTCCCCATCAACACTGAAACATTAATTCAGGTATCCACCAAAATCCACCACCACCTCTATCCCATATTAACTATTATCCTATTCTTCCCTACCCTTCACAGACAATCTTAATAATCATCTGTGCTCTCTCTTCTCTCAGCCCACTCCAGCCTTGCTTATAACCCCATTACTGCATGGAAGACCTAGGTCACCAAGGTCCTCTTGCTAAGTTCAATATATGCATTTCAGTTCTCACATGAGCTCTTGGCAGCATTTGGTATTACAGTCTTCATGAGATACTCTCATTCCCACTATCTCAAAATCTGATTTTTTTCCTCCTCCCTTTCTGGACATGACTTCTCAATATTCAGAGTTCCTCAGAGCTCACGTGCTGTACACATTTCCTGGACAATTTTGTCCATTCCCTTGGTTTCAAAAGCCAACTATGCCGAAGACTCTCCGTTATATGAACTTAGCCCAGATCTTTATCCAAAACTCCAAATCCATTTATCCAGCTAACTGCTTGATAGCACCATTTCATTAACCACAAGCTCCTCAACCTGAATATATCTTCTCCCCTCTATACAATGCTTCTGTTCTCAGTGACATCACGGGTGACTCAGTTGCCCAAAAGAATCCTGGATTCTTACTCTACATATATTTGGTGACTAGGTTCTATCTTTACAATCTTCCTTTCAAGTCCATTTCTCTATCTCCACATCCTTAATTCAGGCTACCATTACTTCTCATCTGGATTCTTCATTTCAACAGTTCCTGACTCCGTCTACGTTGCCGCCCAAGCGTTTTTTCAAATCTGCCATTCATTCATCTAAAAACCCTTCAGTGGTTTCCTGTCACCATGTCTTAACTTCACTTGGAATCATTCATGTTATCACTCCTGCTTACCTCTGTAGTTGTATATTAAACACATTACCCCCTCATACTTTACACACCAGCCACTTTGAATATTTTTCAATTCTTGGAACCTGCCACTCTCCTTCAGGCCTTTATATATGCCAGGTTCTCTCTACCACAGTCACTCTTCTCACTCCTCTTAGCCTGTCTCCTTATGTTCTTTAGGACTCAACTGAAAAGCTTTTATTGATGTAGACTGAAATGGGTGTTAAGTGCCCATCCTTTGTATTTCCACAGTACTCTAGTCCCCCAGCTCCTGTCACCTTTTTTTTTAATCAGGCTATATAGGTAAGAACGAGATCTGCTGCTCACTATTGTCTAGCAAAACAACCTTATTTACTAAGTGCTGGGTTTTAGTTGAATTCAATCAACAGGAGACTGCTCAGACCAAGGGAGGGATAAGGGAGGGAGTTCCAAGGAATTATTTGCTTTGTAGCATTAAGCAACTACCCCCTAACCTTCTGGATCCTACTCCCTTCTTTGGGATGGGATTATCTTTTTCTGCCCCATTCCCACCCAATGAATCTTTTAAAGTATTCCCTATTGGGTCATTGTTACTCTCCTTAGTTTTCAGATGCTCCCTATGACCTGTAGAAAAAGTCCAGATGCCTCTTGCTGTCTGGATCTATTATCCAGCTGGCAGCTGCATGCTACCCCATCACATCCTATCTTGTTTTGTGACTCTGCCCTGACTGATGCTTGAGGGCATGGCCCAACACAGTAGACATCAGTTTGCTGGTTACCTGAGGAAAAAGACAACAAATGAATAGTTGAGACAAATGTTTTAAATAATCTAAAATTTGAGATTTAGTAGTTATCATTAGAAGTACTTGGAATTGTCTCTGAAAGCTACCCTTGCTGATACTACCACATTACTCTTTCCTGCCATAGGCCTGGGCTCTAACATCTTCCGCCTACTGGACAGTCTGAGGGCTCTGTCAGGCCAGGCTGGATGCCGCCTCCGTGCCCTGCATCTCAGTGACCTGTTCTCACCACTGCCCATCCTGGAGCTGACACGTGCCATTGTGCGAGCCTTGCCCCTGCTGCGGGTCCTCTCTATTCGTGTTGACCACCCCAGCCAGAGGGACAACCCTGCTGTGCCAGGGAATGCAGGGCCCCCTAGCCACATAATTGGGGATGAAGAGATACCAGGTGAAGCACTGCGTGTGTGCATGTGTGTGTGTGTGTGTGTGTATCCACACAAACGTGCAGGTGCATTTGTGTGAAGGCAGAAAGACCTCTAATTTAGGCCTGCCACCACTCATTCCTAGCTTATTTGGAATCTGTTCCCTCTTTAGCCTGTTCTTTTTAAATATAACCATGGGCTGGATGGGGCCCAGACCATAAACCCCATGACCATGGCAGATCAGCTTCCAGAAAAGGGGTCTGAATTAGGAACAGAACTGTTAGACTACATAAGTTCTCACTGCTGTATGTCCCATTAGTTCCTATGTCTCCTAGCCCACCTTTCTGCATTCTCTGCTTTTGTCTAGTCTCCCTAGACTAAAAGCTCCATAAACGTAAGGCCTAAATTTCATATTTAGAAGTCTATTCCCAGAACCTAGCACAGTACCTTAGCATATAGTAGGCACTCAGGGACAAGTAGCCATGATTTTTTTAGTGAATCCCTTTAAGGATAGAGTGGAACTTGGTATGGGAATGAAGTAGATAGCCAGCTAGAATTTACTCTCCCTATCATGTCCAGAAAACTGCCTGGAACAGTTGGAGATGGGATTTCCACGGGGAGCCCAGCCAGCCCCACTGCTCTGCTCTGTACTGAAGGCCTCAGGTTCTCTGCAGCAGCTGTCCTTGGATAGCGCCACCTTTGCCTCTCCCCAGGATTTTGGACTTGTGTTGCAGACACTCAAAGGTAAGACTCAGCTAGAATGGTAAAGGGAAGAGGGTAGGAGGGAACCTTGCATTGTTTGTAAAAGTTAGGGCCTCTGTCCCCATCCAGAGTACAACCTAGCTCTGAAGAGACTGAGCTTCCATGACATGAATCTGGCTGACTGTCAGAGCGAGGTGCTCTTTCTGCTACAGAATCTGACTCTTCAAGGTAAGTTCTCATCTAGAACCTGACTGACATTCCTGAGCCTTCATTGTGGCTCTGTCACTGTCTCACTGAGCAAGCACTGTTTTTTTTTTTTCTTGGCCTTATGTCCTCACCTACAAGATAGTTATAGGACCTCAATGACCTTCCTTCTTAAAAGATCCCAAACTTGACTCCTCTTATACTACACGTGGTAATTATTTTTAGAGTGCCTCACCCAAAAGTTTTCCCTATCTTCCAAAGACTGACAGAAATGATGGTAGAAGAGAGGAATAAATGTCCTTTCAGAACCCTCTCATAGACTTGTCTCTAATTCCCACCCCTGCATAGAGGGGCAGTCCGTGGATGAGGGAAAGAAGGAAGTGGATGAGGAATTGTCTTTGCAGAGACCCTCCCTACAGTGAATATCTAGGCTCTGGTTTGAATACTAATTTAGTTTCAGCCTTAGTTGGGGTCTTACACAAATTCCTGTCTTTCTGGGCCTCTATAAAATGTTCACACCCCTAATTAAGACCAACTAGGACAAGAGGGGCAGCAGACCATAAGCCCCAGTTCTAATGCAGCCATCAGAATTTATCCTAATTTCTGTTGACAGAGATTACCTTCTCCTTCTGCCGTCTGTTTGAGAAGCGCCCGGCCCAATTTCTGCCTGAGATGGTTGCTGCTATGAAGGGCAACTCCACACTGAAGGGCCTCCGGCTGCCAGGGAACCGCCTGGGTGGGGACAGGGCCCTGGGAATGGAGAGGGAGAGGGGGAAGGAGCCAGTCCTTTGACCTAGAAACTCAATGGGTAAAAGCATAGACCTCTCTCCTGGGAACATGGAGGTTAGAATAGTTGTGTGCTGGGACTCCAGGAGGCTGGGCTTCTCCCTAGCCAGAATTAGGCTGGGATACCCTTGTTCCCTGGTCTTGGGTGGAGGTTACCGACATATCTCCCCTTCTCCTCAGGGAATGCTGGTCTGCTGGCCCTGGCAGATGTTTTCTCAGAGGATTCATCCTCCTCTCTGTGTCAGCTGGACATCAGGTACACGTTGGGGGTAGGGGAGAGGTAGGCTGGCAGGGGAAGGAACAAGGGATAGAGCTGCAGGGACAAACGCCAGGGATTATTTGCTTCCTGGGTGTCTAATCCATCTCACCCCTACCAGTTCCAACTGCATCAAGCCTGATGGGCTTCTGGAGTTCGCCAAGCGGCTGGAGCGCTGGGGCCGTGGAGCCTTTGGTCACCTGCGCCTCTTCCAGAACTGGCTGGACCAAGACGCAGTCACAGCCAGGGAAGCCATCCGGCGGCTCCGGGCAACCTGCCACGTGGTTAGTGACTCGTGGGACTCATCCCAGGCCTTCGCAGATTATGTCAGCACCATGTGATGGGGCCCATGCCTCACAGGCCCATGCCCAGCACCATCAGCTTGCAGGGGCTGAGGCATGGGCTGCCCAGAACTCCCAACCACCAAGTCTGTCTTTCTCTTTCTGCCACCTTTTTTTCTCTGTTTTCCTTCTTCCCTTGCACTGAGGTTCTGGAGGCCTTGATGGGGCCCAGCAAAGGCATTCCCAGAACTGCATTTAGAGCCTGTGGGCCCCTTACAAAGAAATCTGGGAACCCTGGGCCAGGAAATTACAGTAGTCATCAATCACTGAGGATAGCCCCCTCCCCCTGCCGCCTCAAGCAGGTACCCAAGCTTTAGAGAAGTATAGGAGTGCCCACTACCAGGCCTCTTCTCTGCTGGGCTCACCATGCTGCTCCCAGGCCTCAGTCCCTTTCATACCTTTATTCCTTTCTTTTTTTAACCAAAAAAGTTTTTCTTATAAAATAAATTTTGGGCAAACATCATGCAGCCCTTCTTGATTTTTCTCCCAGAGAACAAAATTCAGCAGGGCCCTATGGGGCAGGGAGCCCCTTTTCCCTGTCTCCTTCCTCTAACAGCTATATCCAGACCAGCTGGTTATCAGTGGAGGCCCCGCTGCTCCTCATGGGAACGCTGGTGGAAGACGAAGGTGATGGCAGTGGTGGCAGCATCCCATGCAGCCTGGAGTACCTCATCTTTGAGACCCCGCTTATCAGTGCTGTGGTTCCACTGAGCCAGGTCTGAGGTGCAGTCAGAACCATCAGGGGGTTGCCTGACCTGATGGTTGTTGACACAGCGGCTGCAGCGCAACCTGGGGGCAGAGGATAGAGCTGTGGTCACTATACATCCCATCTCCATATTATGTGAGGAGTTCAGAGATAATAGCTAATAATGGCATTCCACCAACCTATCATGTGTATCACTGAGGCTAGCCTCATCCAGGGTAAACAGCTCCTTCAACTCGCCCAGAGAAAAGTGCCGCTCCACATCCTGTTCCTCATCCACCACACAGCTACTCAGTGCCTTCTTGTGGCTCTGACGCTGAAAGATCTTCTCCTCAATGGTTCCTGCCTAGGGGGTGGTAGGGGAAGCCAAAGAAGCAGGGCTAGGTCATCCTCATACAAAGGGGGAAGGAAAACCCAGGGATTAAAACTGTAGCCACCCAGGAGAAGGGGTGATAAATGAAAAGTAAGAATTCTACAGCAACACCTCTGCTCAGCTGAGCCCACTTCCTAGTCTTTCTCTTGGGAACATGACTTGGACATGTCCACCCAGGATATTTTTTGTATTAATGGAGGTTTTCAGGACCTGGCTAAATTCTTTCAGGGTTTGTGTGAAGTTGCTACACCAGGCTTCCACAGCAAGCCCAAGTTTCACTCTCAATAACTATAATTTGGATAACCTATACCAGGCTCTGTGCTAACACTAGGATATAAAGAAGAATCAAATATGATCCCTATTCTTGAACTCATAGACTCGTGGGAGAGACAGAAAAACTAATTGGTAAAACAATAGAAATCTGTATAGAATACCCAGGAGTACACGAGGGGTAGCAGAGTGGAACAGTATTGAAAAACTTGAAAGTAAGGATGATCCTTGAGCTGAATCTTGAAAAATGAATAGTTTACAAGAGAAGAGTGAAGGGAAGGCATCCACCGCATAGGAACAAAGGAATCAGCCTGACCGACTAGAGGACTATGAGGAGTTCAGCCAGTCTAGAGGATGTTGAAAGTGTACTGGAACTGAAAAAGTCAGCAGAGGCCATGTTGAAGAAACTTGGAGGCCAGGCTAAAGAGCTTGACCTTGTCCTGGAAGTGATGAAAAGCAATATCAGAATTTTTGGAAAGCTCATTCTAGAAGCAGTGTGTGAAGAATGGATAAAGACCAAAGGTAAAGAATTAGGAAGCTGTTGTAATATCCAAATGAGAGATTACTGTGACCTTAAGATAGGATGGAGAGGAAGGTTAGATAAGGAAATTTCAAGAAGGTAAAAATCAATGGTAACTGGAATTTGGTTGTTCGGAGACAGAATGGTCAAGTAGAATGATGCCCAGATTTGGGTTGGGTGGATAATGGAACCACTAAATGACAATTCAGAAGGGCAAACAGTTAAGTCGTGATGCATCTAAAATGCTCATAAAATATTCAAGTGGAAATGTACAGTGCGTGATGGATACATGGGTCTAGAACTCAGGTAAGAGATCCAGGATAAAAACTTCGTTAGTTTATCAATATAATGAGCATATATAATTAGAGGTGGGAATACCAGAGTGGAGTTTCCAAAGAAGAAAAAAATGTCAAGATTAGTAGTCAACAGTGTCAGATACCCAGAGGAAAAAATCGAGCCTCTAGTTTTGGCAATTAGGAAGCCAATAATAGTGTATTCAAAAGGTTCAGTCGCACATGTGGTCTGATGAGTGAGTGGTATGAAGATGAGGCAGTGAAGTTAATCTGTAGGCTTTGGAAAAATTTGACAGTGATGAATGAACGGGAAGTAACCCAAGGTAGTGGCTACAATAAGACAGATTTGAGAAATTGTTTTTAAGAGAGCTACTTGAATATGTTTATAGATATCAGAATAAAGGAGAAATTAATCAGCTAAGGAAGGAAATGATGAGAATAGGTCTAGAGCAGAACTATAATGATGAGCCTCAAGCAGAGAGGAAGGGAATGATCTTCCTCTGAGATGGGAAGGGAGGAGCCGGTTAGAGATTTACTAAAGAGAGGAAAGCGGGGTGGGGGAGAGAATTCGAGCCTGGTAGCCTACATTTTTTTTCTATGAAGTAGGACAAGGTCTGCAGAAAGTGAAACAGGGTTAGAAACGAAACTGGAGGGAAGTGGTGAAGGCTTGAAGTGGCCGTTGAAGGAAATGAGATACAGCCCAGCTCCAAATGGTGAATGTGAATTTGTGGTAGTGCCAATCTGTAAATGAAAATTTTATCTGGTATAGAAGCTGAGAACAGCTGTAATGACCCAAGTGGAGTAGATATTAAGGGAGGAGTGGTGAAAGGATGCAGTGAGGATCAGGCTGAAAAGAAAAGGAGTCAACCCAGATTTGAGGGCCGGGGGATACTAGGGACGTTAAGTTGCACAGATGTAGGAGGAATGAGAAAGGGCAGGAAGTGATAGCTATTACTAATGACAGCCATTAAAATTTGGGGTACTATGTAAAGTTTTTGTACTGTTAAAGCTCCACAGTGTAGCCTTGGGAGTAACTAAAATAGGGAGAAGTCATTAGAGGTGAGGTCAAGGAAACATAAAGGCCAGAGTGCTAGGTAACTACATGGTCCTTGAAGTCTGCCAGGATGATAACTGGATTGGAGGAAGAAATGAAGACTGAGCTGGTGTCCAAAGTCATCAATGAATTAGTAAAACAGCAAGAGGTAGATGACTGTAGCAAGGAAAACAGGGTATCAAGCCAGACAACATGAGCTTCAAAAGAAGAAGTATAGGATGGATGGTCTGAGTGATTACTGAGAACTTGGAGAATGCCAATACCACTTCTTAGCACCAGGGGACATGGAATATGAGAAGACTACAGGCAAATTGCACAGTAAAAATCAGGTGTGAGGGAAAGCAGATGTCCTGTGAAAAGAATGGGGCCACAAGGAAGTTTGTTAACTACTGAACAGGCATCCAGAGGGCATTGTAAGGGTTTGAAAGAATGGAGAGAACAGAATAAAAGGCTCCAGGCTAAGCCCATAGCCTGGCCACTGCTAGGGGCAGAGGGGCCAAAGAGAGGCACTGAGAAACAACCCAAGATGGTCCTGAAGGTCTTGTTCCATTACCCATCCCTACTCTAACCACTATCACCATTCTTACAGACAGCAGGCGATAGATATAGCATGTCTTCTTTTGACCGTCACGCCAGACCCGGGCCATGGCTTGTTCATCATTAGCTGGGTTCCAGTCAGGGTCAAACATGACCAGTCGGTTAGCCCCAATGAGATTGAGGCCACAGCCCCCAGCTTTGCTACTCAGCATGAAGACAAAGTCAGGGCTCTGAAAAGAGGAAGCAAGAGAAAAAGAACCTCTAGCAGCCTGAACTTGAATCCTACTTAGCCCAGCCAGCTGTTCTCTCTCAGGCATCTGTACTCCTCTGCTCAGACCAATTATGAGGACCACCAATTTGCCTACCATCCAACTTCCCAGCCCACAGTCATTTCCCAACTTGGCCATCACCAACCATCCTAACCCTGCAACAACCACCAGAAAAAAAATCCAGGAAGACCCTAGAGCAGAGTCCCTTTATAGCTTCTCTCTCAACCCTAAATTTTGATGTTGACTGTATTGGTGGTGTAGGGACAGGGGCTGTGCATTTACCGATGGACTGTTGAAGCGCTCCACAACCTTGGCTCGCTTCTTAATGGACATCGTGCCATCCAAGCGGACATACAAGTACCTAAAGGGGAATCCAAAGATTAAAACCCAAGGAAGCAGCAAAGCCCCTAGGAGCCAGCGCTACTGACGGGGCTGAACTAACCATGCCTGAGGCTGTTCATGCACAGTCTGAGATCCCATACTCCCAAAGGAAGGGGCAGGGAGCTAGGGGCCAGGACTCTGTCCTGTGGGAGCACCTGAAGGACTAGGGGCTATTCTGTTTGGAGATGAAACTAGGATCATTGTAGCAATAAGGAACTAGACGACATCTGGGAAGTCCCTCCTGCACCCATATCTTGGCCCTTATCCACCATCAGAACACCTCCTCTTCCCAGAGGGGACAGTAGAGGAGGCACTCCTTTGGCAGGCTTGTTTAGGCTCTTCCCTACCTTCGGGCCCGGCAGAGCTTCTCAAAGAGGTCTAAAGTCTGGGTGTAATTGGACACTAGCACTACTTTGTCACTGCTGCGGCTTCGGGTCACTGCCAGAATGTAATCAAGGACCAGCATCTTACCTGGGGAGATGAGAAATCATTAGCCCCCAAGGGGCCTTCCCAATGGCCCAGGATTCTTACTCTTGATATCCTGCCTTGAGACAGGATAAGTCTAGGACAAAGACAATTTCCTCCTCCCAGAGAAACCCAAAAACTGGTAGGAAAGGGCTCACCTGACAGCTGGGGCGCTATAGTCTTAGAGCTATAACCAGGGGGAAATATGTCCAAGGTACCTTCAAAGCCATCTTCCTCTTCCACACACTTGTCATAGATTAGAGCTGGATCTGAGGGGAAAGAAACAAAATGCCAGCTACGCTGCTTTTGAAAGTCTACTTCAGTGCTCATTAGAACCTCCTCCAGAAGTCTACCCAAAAGACCTTCCCCAGTACCAGATTTACTTGGTCCCAAATTCCAGTGTGTAAGCAGTGGCACCCGGGACCATGAATGGACACTCTCACTCATTAGTGTGTACTCCCAACAAGAAGGAAGCTCTACCAGAGAAGGTAAGGTTGATTATTTTCCCTCCTGTCCAACATTTTATATGCACAAGTGTGCACAAACACACACACAGTCCCATATACCCAAGCATCAAGCATGGGCTGGGCAGAGGATAAGCTAAATTTTTCAAAGCAAAGGGTCTGACTTACAGAGTATAAAATGCAGAGCTCATGCCTTGGAGAAGGATGGAATCGTATGTGGCCTCTGTGAGGACTCTGGACAAGTTTTAGTGAAGGTGGCTCTATCACCTGCAGGAGGTTACCCTTCCTTGCTCATTCTCACAGAGGAACCCAGAGCACAGAACCAACTCACGATTACATAGCTTCTTTAGTGAGGTAATGGAAGAAAGGGAAGACACACTCATCTTGCCCTCACGTAACTCATCTGCTGGCTTGGCCTGTCTCAGAAACCTCTGGTATAATTCCGTCTGAAGGGGTGTCAGCCTGAAAGAAAGGCAGCTGAGTCAGTGGCTGGACCACACTTTGGCCCTCTGAAGACACATTGAGAGCTGAGCTCTTACCCGCTCCACACCCCTCAGTTGAGTTTAGTACCTACAACAAACCACCTGCTCAAACTTCACAGGCAGATATTTAGAAAGGATATCAGATGTCCTCCGTATTAGGCACCTGGAGAGAACAAGATAAAGAGGCTGGTAAAACTGCCATGTGAACTACTGGAATAACAGATACCACCCAAAGCAGGGGTCCTTAACCTCCGGACCATGGACCAGTACCAGTCTGTGACTTGTTAGGAACTGGCCTGCACAGCAGGAGGTGAGTGGCAGGCGAGTAAGCAAAGCATCTGTATTTGCAGCTGTTCCCCAGTGTTAGCATCACCACCTCAGGTCATCAGGCATTAGATTTCTCATAGGAGCACCAGTGCCTGGTCCCAAAAAGGTTGGGAACCGCTGACCAAAAAGACCAAGTCTGAGTAAGAGACCCATCAGCTCTATGGCACAGATATCTATATCACAGGCTCTGTCATGGAAACAGAGACCCTTCCAAATAGTCTAGCGTTGACTAACAACTATCTCTTCCCCTTCAAAAGGTTAGCTAGTCTTCAAGAAGAGACCAGAGTCTCCCATTGAGCCTAGTGCTCTAACAAGGAAAGCAAGTTGTAAACCAGTTAAGTCCCTAGGGGAGTTTCTGCTTGCATTTGCCCAAATGCTTGTTGTCACATGGCCCAAGGCTCAATGAAATTAAGCCCATACCTCCTGGCAGACCAGGAAGGACAAGAATCAGTTACCTAAGCAACAGCTCCTAACATACCTCTCCCTCCTGCCATCTAAAATTAGGAGAGAGAGGTGGCAATTGGGAAGGGCAGGACTCTTCAGGATATGAATCATCAAGTGTGTATACCTATAACAGAAGAGTCCGGAATGTACCTGCCCATGGGCTATGTGGCCCCCATGGAAAAAGCCCTCTGAGCCTGGGAGCCACACCCATCCATCAGATCTACCTGTGAAAGAAGGCTGTAAGGCCTGAGAAGGGAAGCCTGGTGCTTTAGGTCTGAGACCAACTGACAAGAAGCTTCCGAAGTACTAACATTGCTCCAACAGATATTTTGCTCAAGAAGTTCAATAGCATCAGAAAAGAGCTTCCTCAGTAGCAACCTGCTAAGCAACCCAATACCAGACCACAAGGCCTAGGCCAGGAAGAAACGACTAGGCCTGCAAGACCCCTTCATTTATTCAGCGGCTATAGTCAGGGCATAGATCCCACTCTCTTTTCAGAATCCCAATCCTTATAGGCCAAGGCTCCAAAGAATTGGCCTTGGATGGCTTAGGAGGCAATTCTGATGACCTAACTTGGAGGGACTCAAAGAAAGGTGCTGCTGTTTAGCCCAGCCTTCACCGTGCTATTACCTATTCACAATGCTGGTGAGCTCCCGCAGTCGCTCCTCTCCTAGCTGCCTGTCTGCCTCAGTGGCAGCTGCATCTCTGCCCTTTAAAATTGGCAACTCAAAGTGCTTCTTGAACTCATAAGCAGTTCCTAAACACAGGAGAGAAGGGAATATTAAAGAATATAAAAAAAGAATGATTTCCCCACTGCCAATAAGGGCAGGCTATTTTGTTATAGAGCAACCTTCCTGCCAAGAACAAAGTTGAACAAATAATAGGCAATTTGTACCAAAGCAGTTAAGATTTAAAATGCCTAATAGTGAGATAGTAGATTAAAACCCAAATATATAACCAAAATATATTTAATCACAAATATAAGTGCACCAAATAATTCAATAAAAGACAATCCGATTGCAAAACTGAATTTTTAAAAAAGTCTACCTATAGGCTATTTGTAAGAGATGAAATAAAAGGTAATCAGTACAACGAAGTACTGATAAGCCTTGAAAACATTATGCTAGGTTAAAGAAGCCAAAGACAAAAGGTCACATATTGTATAATTCCATTGATATGAAATATCCAAAATAAGCAAATCCAGAGAGACAAAAAATAGATTGGTGGTTGCCAGGGGTCAGACGTAAGGGGGAAATAGTGAGTGAATGCTTAATGGGTATAGGATTTTCTTTTGGCTAGGAATAAAAAAAGTCAGGTACTTCATAAAAGAGAATCTCTAAATGGCAAGTGACCATATTAAAAGGAATCCAACATTCAACATTTGACAAATGCAGTGAGATATCACAAAACAAGAGAATGACTAAAATAAAATTTTTTTAAAGATAAATACTGGTGATAATATAGAGCAGAGGTCAACATCAGCCAACCACCTGTAAATAAAATTTTATTAGAACACAGCCATGCCTTTATACTTTATGGCTATTTTCATGCTATAATAGCAGAGTTAAGTAGTTGTGACAGAGTTTGGCCTGAGAGCCTGAAATGCTTACTATATCTAGGCCTTTAAGAAAAAAAAATGCTGACCCCTGATGTAGGGACACTAGAATTCTCATATAGTGCTGGTACAATCACTTTGGAAAACTGGAGTTATCTACTAGAGCTAACACATGCATAACAGATGACCTGGCGATTCCTCTCTTAGAACAGAGAAATGAATACTATACTCAGGTAAAGATATGTACAAGAATGTTCACAGCATCATTATTCAAAAGAATAAAAAACCGAAATAACTCAATTGTCTATCAGCAGAATAGATAAATTCTGATATATTCATAAAATGGAATAGTATACAAAAATGGAAAAGAACAAGCAAACTACAGCTACAGGCGACATCATGAATCTCATAAACATAATGTTGAACAAAAACCAGATGCAAAGGAATATATACTGTATGATTCCATTTATATAAAGTAAAAAGATAGGCAAAAACCAATCTTGAATGTCAGGAGAGTTTTTACTTCGGGAGAAAAAAGGAGGAAGTAGTGATTAGGGGAGCAGGGCTGCTGAGATGGTGTGAGTAACCGATCTGGTAGTTGTTACTCAAATGTGTTCACTTTGTGAAAATCTAGCTACTCAGCTGGTTCACTGCCTAAAGTGATTTTCCTGAGCACTGGCAAGTTGGGGTGGCACTAACAAACCCTTTCACAGTTATCTCTGTGCAAGAATTGCCCAAACTGTGGTTGCCAGGGACTAGGGGGAGTGGGAAATAGAGAGTTATCGTTTAATGGGTAGAGTTTAAATTTTGCAAGATGAAAAAAGTTCTGGAGATGGATGGTGGTGATGGTTGCACAACAACATGAATGTACTTAATTACACTTAATTGTACACTAAAAATGGTTAAAAAAAGAAACTGCCCAAGACAGTCTGCTCTGAAGCCAAAGCTCTTGTAAGGCAGCTAGGGTGTGATGGGCAAAAATGCCTGGGGGTAGTATTTCCATCCACAGCTCACGGTGACCCCATGCCCTGTATAGAGTCTGCCACCTCTACAGTGGAAAAATGGCTAGGGTGGGCCTTGCTAAGTTGCTTGGCAGAGCTCCCAGTGGCTCTCCCTGACAAAAGAAGTCTTCCTACGAGAGTGCCTGGTCACCCACATACAACTAGCATTCACTTTCTCTCCTCAGCTAGAGTTACAGGTAAGGCTCCTCTCCATGTAGCAGACAAGGCTGGATTCTTACCCAGGATGCCTGAATTAACAAAATGTACCAAGCTGAAATACTCAAGGAGATCATTCTGGATGGGAGTCCCAGAGATGAGCACCCGCCGGCTGGTGTTCAAGCTGTCCAGGGCCTGGTAAGTCTGATTCTCAGAGTTCTTCAGCCTGTGTCCCTGAAAGGAAATTAATTCTCAGTTAGGCCTGGGCACAGTGCTGCATCCCTAAAGGTAACAAAATCTTGTGTAGACAGGAAAAGAGGAATCATAAACATTACAGGTCCTAGAGCCTGGGGAATGGGGCAGTGGACAGCAAGAGTGAGTTTACCCACTTGCTTGGGAAGAAACATCAGGCTCAAGAGATAGAACTTCAGTTTCCAAACAGTGCTACACAACCATAAAGCAAAGATTCCTTGTTTCCTCCCCTCCTCTTCCTTGCCCCAATTTCCAGAGCCTCAGCAGCCTGCCTATCCTCTTCAGATATCATTCAGCAATGTTAAAGACCTGTGTTAGGGAATCCTCCCCACACCAGCTCAACCAAACTAGACCTCATGAGCCAAATGCCTTTCATATCAGTCTCCAGGCAGTGTCGAGGCTGTCAGTGCTAAAAGGACTTGACCCAAGCTCCTCCTCCCCTCTTGCTACAGAATTCACACAGTTCCTACATTTAAAGAAAGCCCCTCTCTGCCTCCCTTTGCATCTCTTTTCCAACCCTATTTCTCCCTATCTCTATATCTGTCTCTCTTGCTCTCTCACACATACACCATTACATGCCTCTGTTACTTCACTCTTTTAAGCCTTTTTCAAGAAAATAGTAAAAAAACCCTATCGTCTCCCCTCCTTTCCCAGAACCATATGGGCAAGATCAGGCCTGTGCCCTTTCTATCCCCAGCCCCCACTCACTGGGCTAGACAGAGAAAACAAAACCACAAGTGAAAAATGAACCAACAAGCCAGACTTGCTTCCTATGGTCAGTCTTTCACAATGCAGTTAAATACAGACCCTCCACTGACTCTCCCTACTATAGGATCAAGTCCAAGCTCATTAGCTTAGTACTTCTCAATAAGGCCGCAGCTAGCTTCTCTGACACTCTCCACAGCTTGTCATAGACCAGGAAGCCATTAACTCCTCCCCACTCCTAATGCTGGATTTCCTTAGGTCTCTTTGCTCATGCCACTCTTCTGCCCAGAATTATCTTCCACAGGCAAATTCCTCACATGTCACCTCCTATGCAAAGCCTTCCCCAATGACCCAAGGCTGTTGGTCTCTCTCACTTCTGTGCTTCTATGGCACTCTGAACATACTACCTGTTTACTGAATCCTTTTAACGTACCAGGCACTGTACTAAGGACTTTACTGTATTCTCTTCTATATTCTATATTCCAGATAACAATCAGATGAATGGAAATTATAATACCACTTTAGAGAAAATGAGGTTCAGAGAGGTGAACAGTTATCCAAAATCACACTGGTAGAAAGTAGCAGAACTGCGATTTGAACTCATATCTGTGTGATTCTGAAGTCTGGGTACAGTACTACTCTGCCTCTCATCCACTGCTATATATACCAGAGTACTAATCACACTGTATTGCACTTTATCTCCTCACACAGGCGAGAACTTCTTAAGGCAGAGACCATGTCAGATTTGCCTTTATAACTCAGTACATAGGACAGAGGCCCACACAGAGCTCTGCTCAGTCAATGTTTGCTGAAAGAATGAATGAATAAGTAACATTACTATTAATGAAGAATTAGACAAACCTAGAATTTAAATTTTTAAAAAACGACTTGATGTTGTGCACCTAAAACTAATGGAATGTTATATGTCAATTATATCTCAATTAAAAAAAAAACCATTTTTTAAGACATCCAAAACAAACAAAATAAGGAAAAAGGACTGGAGGCTCCAAGCACTAGCCCTGAGAGAGACTAAGACTTCTGAGCTGAAGAGGCAAATAATACTTGAAACTTGTGAGAAAATTACCCAAAAGGCCCTAGGAGAATAAGCACCAACATTTGAGTCCCTCTAAATTGAAGCTGCCCAAGGGCAAACATCATGGGATCCCCAGGGCCCACACATTTATAGGTACTTAGTAAATATCTCAATGAAGGAACTAGGCTGACAAGCTATCCACATGGGTCTCTGTGGAAGGGAAAGCCAACTCCAGCTCCCTATGGCACCTCCCTGGCTCCAAACCCAGCTCCTGCCACTATCGCTCATGGATTTAAAACCAAAACTCTGTCATCTCAGCAAATCAAATGTTTGGCCACATGAAAAGTTGTCAAATTTCATTTATAAGTTGCTGCTGAATTTCTATTCTGGCAGAGTGTTTTAACAACAACAACAAAATGATCCAAGATCAAATACCACCACTTCTCCCTGAAACAGGAGCCCTATGAGTAGCATTCTCATTTTTTATTTTTTCCCCAGCATTTTCCATCTGACTTGCTTTCTAACAATTATATAGGAACATACATGGGTCTGGATGAGGCACTCAGGGACAGTCCTTCCATATCTAAGTCAAGCTTCTTCCTACGCCACGTCTGTGTTACATCAAAGATAGTAAGAGATAAGAAAAGAGCCAGGACTTAAAATCGCAGACCTGGTTTCAAGTCCCAGCTCATTATGCACTCACTGGGTATATCTGCCCAAGTCATTACACTTCAGTCTCCTTATCTCCAAAACTGAGATGATGATGATGATGTCAGTCCCTCTCCTATTCATACACTTTACAGAATGCCTCCATATATCCTCTCTCTTGATCCAGATCATGTCCCTTTCAGATAGGCCCTGTGTCATCTACTCTACAGATAAAGAAACTGAGTGTCAGAGCAGTCTCATCTGCAGTCATGCTTATAAGTGGCAAAGTGAAGGCTGATCCCAAGTCTTCTGATTTGCCCTGACTAACTCAGACTACTTTGAAGACCAAGGATTTTGTACAAAGTTATTATGCAGAACTGTGTGTTCCAGAGAAAAGTATGAGCTAGAAGGAAGCAGGAACGTGAAATCCTGGGGTGGCACCTTTCCCTTCCACGGTCTGAACAGGACAAACTCTCTCCTCCTAGAGCAGGCTGATGATCTTTCAGGATTTTGGCTGAAAAGTTGCTGACAAATGAAAGGTAGATGTAGAAGGGAAAGTCAGGATGCTTCAGTGTGGCAAGAGGCAGCCTGGTCCCTTGTGCCCTGCAGAGCCAGCTCAGAAAACGAGAGAGTGAGAAAGAAAAGAAAGAAATACTACAGAGCAAATTAAAATCTGAGTCCTCAAGGGCTCAACAGCTACAGCCTGCCTTCCTCTCCCTCAATGCCCTGGCCTCTGGATTAGACTCTTCAGACAGTCCCCGGCCTCCATGGTGATGAAGCACATGCCAGGGTCGTGAGCTGCACAAGGTGGTCATGCACATACCCAACCTCAACCTGCTAAATCCCTTACTTTTACAAGAAACAGCCAGTCAAGATATCAGAAGTTTGCAGACATGCCAGATAGTGACTGACTCTTCAAGTACAAACAAAGCCCAACTAGGAAATAGCTGACAATTCACAAGTATGGCATCCTAAAGTAAACTTTTCTTCTCTGTCCTCTCCCAAATGACCCTCAGATATTGGGGTAATTTAGTCCCTACAGGAATCAAACTTGCCAATAAGTTGACAGTTGGGCCAAGTCTTTCAACTACCTTTCCATTAAAGCCCCAGGTATATGGTAAAGTGACCTTAACTCTCCCCAAGAAGCACAAACAAGTGCAGCAGCCTCAGGGTAGCCAAGCTCCTTGCAAATCTGGACAATTTTTTATACTCACAAGCTCCCAGCCACCCTCACTTCTTTCTTAGTAGCATCTCTACCACCATTCATGCGTAGTGCTAGAAAAGGCCAGGAAGTAACTATTGCCATATTTCCTTTAGTCCCAGAGAGGCAACCCAGACTACTACAAGGTATATGGATTGTCTACACTGGACCTTCCTGTCTGTGCTTCTGTTCACATGAGTCCCCCAGGCCTAGAATGAAAACCAGATATTTACCAAAGTCTTAAGACATACCAGGCACTGCAATAAGAGCTTCTCTCGATCACTTCATTTAATTCTCACAATAATCCTATGATGTAGATATTATCACCCATTTTACTGACACAGAAACAGAGGCTCAGCTGGTTAAATAACCTGTTCAAGGTCTATTACTGGGAAGTGGCAGAGCCAGGATCTAAATAATGTCTGACTCTAGAACCTGTCCTCCTAAACACTGTATCCATGTCTCTCCAACCATCCAAATCCCTCCCATCCTTCGAAGTCCTTCTTTGATCTAGGAATACTGTCTGGGGGCAACAGAACCAATCAGCCCACAGCACTTTGCCCTCTTTAGAGTTCCAAACACTGCTTAATCCCTCTTTTGGCAGACTAGAATCATGGGCTCTCCCTCTTACTTGCCTCCTCTGAGGCAGCATGCTCTGTCAGCATTCCCCAGGGACCAGCACAGCCTTTGAATGGTAGTTCTCAGTGAGGAGACTGTGACAGACTTTCTCCTACTACCCAAACTGCTGAGTTATGTACCTCATCACATATGACCAGTCCAACGCTCCCTTTCTGAAGGACTCCAACATGAAGGCGGAATGTCTCATAGGAAATGATGAGGATGGGAGAAGGCACTCTGGCTCCACGCTGGTTCATGAATCCTTCTACAATATAAAAGGTGTCAACAGAACCAATCTTAGACTATCTTGGTGAAAAAATCAGTTTGACAGTTTAGCCTGAAAATAATTATTCAACTATTTTCCATAGGAATTCTCCTCTTCCACCCCTCATTGCCCTCAACCCTGAGCATACACATAAGAAAGGAGCAAGTTGTGTAGAAGAGTGCGGATATCTTTGTTAAGACTCCATACCCAGCTTTTGATCTATCTCGTCCTTAGAGCCTCCATCAATGGCCAGAGGTTGGATCCTCCCTCCAAGCCATTTCCCAACTTCATTGTACCAGTTCTTCACCAGGCTGGAGGGTGACACCACCACTGCCTTGTCAATTTCTGGCTTGCACTCTGGACTCTGGCGCAAAAGTGTCCAGATCAACGTGATGCACTGCAGTGTCTTGCCCAGGCCCATCTCATCAGCCATGATGCAGCCGTGGCTGCCAGGGATGCGCCGACTGGTGACACACTCCCACAGGAACTTCACTCCCTAGGGAAGAACAGCACTCAGCCCACTTTGGCATCTACATGGCTGCTGCCCCAGGGATGGCAGCCTCCTGCGCTCAGATCCATACCTCGTTTCCCCCGCTCTCCCATTTACCTCTCTCTGATGAGGCCGCAAGACTTTACTGAGAATAGGATCAACGACCACATGGACAGGGAGTTTTTCCCTGAGAAAACAGCAAAGAAAACATGAAACCCAGACATGGGCAAGGGCACGCCCTCAGGAAGTTGTATCCTGCTGATCCTGAGGCCACAGAGGCAGCTGCCTAAGGACTTTTGGGCCTGGTAATCAAACCATAGTAAATTCCTGCTCCAGGCGAATTTAGAGGAGGGGGATGGGTTCCCTATGTCATCACCTCAACTCCTGCTCCTTGGCGGGAAAAAGTGAGAGACCCCCACCAACTAGACATGTCCACATGCTCTTCCCCAGGCACTGTCCTTCCCCACCTACCCAGTCTCTGGGATGGTACAGTAGCCATGACAGCACTCTGAAAACATACGGTAGTTCCAAGGAAAAATCACACCAAATGCCCGCGGCCCTTCCGCTATGTGCACTTACAGAGGACCAGAACTGCTCAAGAAATACCAACACACATACTTGTCAAGCTTCAGCTGGTCATGGGCGCTCAGCGGGGGAGGCTCGTACAGAACCAAGGCACCTTCTTCCAGGGGGTCATGGAGGGCCCGGCGGACCCCAGCCCTTTTGAGGCCCAATGCCCGAGAGCCCAGAGGACCTAGAAACCAACAATATGTTACTTGAACCTCTGTGCTGAGGAGCTCTAGCAGGCCCAGGTCAAAATGCTTATCCTTCTCATAACCTTTCCTAAGCTTCCACATGACCCTCTCTCTCCTAGAACCTCTCCAAACCCAGTTTGGGCACCTCTATGTGACCGTTATCCCAGTCTGCCTCAGATCAGAATATTCCCCTATTTTACTTCCCCATTCAACTACAAACTTCTAAAGGGCTGGGTCTTGTTCATCTCGACTAAAATCAATCCTAGAAAGGTCTGAAACCCTACAGGGGTCTTTCAGGACTGGGAGCTCTTGAGAGTTGGCCTCTTCCCTGCCCAGCCCCAGTTTGCTAAATGCTAAGCCCTACATAGGACAGGGGAAAACTCTGTAGAACCTAGGCCTCCAAAAGAGTCGACTTCAAAAAGGAGATGCTACTGAACTCACTTGGACTTAATGATACTTGGACCCATCAGCTGCCCTGACCCACTAGGAACTTCCTGAGCACTGGCACATCCCCACCAAAAAGAAGAAGAGCAATCGGTCTTGGCAGCCCTTGCTGAAGCTATCAAACACAGCTTTCATGCTGGCTTCAGGGGGGTCACCCCATACAAGGTCACCATTGGACTAGGATCTTCAATTCCAGAGTAAGCTTGTATGTATAAAAGCTGAGGTTTTCATCTATTAGGGTACATTCACACATGACTGATTCAAAAAACAGAAGTCTCCATTTTTACCTTGATAATTTGGAATGGGGATCTTGAAAGGCTTTGACAAAATGCTTCGAATAAATGCTTCCTAAAATGAAAGAGAAGAAACAGGGATTTGGAGATGTTATGGAATATTTTTACAAATGCAGCCTAAAATGCCCATTTAAGCATTGTAATACAGTGAGAGCATTGTATTTTGATTACATCTCATTCAGATGCAGCTAGAACATAGAGATGTGCTCAATATTAGGTTTTGTACAGTAGCTTTCATCTTCGAGGCTTCACATAAGGTTCTACAAATACCCAGGTACAGCAGAGTGCCACTGGCAAGTGCCTACCTCAGTCAACCACAAGGCTCAGACCCATTAGCTCATGAAAGACCATGCCAGTGTAGATACCTAATTATTCCCCAGGGTGCAGCACCTTAAGAAGAAAGTACCGCAAACTTACCCAATCCCAGTACTAACAAGGAACTCCAATGCCTGGATTCAACTACTATCCTATAGAGCTTCACCTTCCCAAGCATACCTCACATTTCCTTTTTTTTGTCATATCAATTTTGCCTATTTATTTAATTCCTACATCAGCCTCCTTGGGAACCAAACAAGCCTTCAAAAAGTAATGGTAGCAGTAGCGTTAGTAGTGTTAGTAAAGTAATAATATTAACGACAGCAAAAATGACAAGAATGATGACTAACAATGTATGCCAGATGCAGTGCTAAGCCCCATGTATTCATGTTATCATTTAATCTTCACTAACAGCCTATGAAGTCCATATATTACTGGCCTCCCCATTCTACAGATGAGTAAATTTAGGATGAGTGGTTGTCACTTTCACAAGTCACACAGCCATGACAGATGTAGGACTTCCCTGATTCCAGGACTCTTACTTGTAGCCAGTAGGCAATATGGTCTCCTAACCCAACCTGTTTTGAGTTTAGCCGTATGGATCAGTCCAGTCAGCAGCTTCCTGCCATGGGAAGGCACAAGAAAGAGAACGTGAGAAAAAAACACCAAGAAAAAGCAAATGGGAAAGGGTGACAGGAATCAGATATACATAGGTCCTAGAAAAGGGTGGTCTTGGTGCTTCCATTTCAGGGCCTGTAGGAAGACCCTGTGCCACCGTGTAGGCCTGGAATCAGCACTGGGCTATGGGGGTTCGGGGCAGAAGAGGAGGCAGGGGCGTCCATAGCACCAGCTCCTGAGCTAACTCTGACAACTCCATTGAAGTTCTGATCTATACACACCTGAGCCCTCTGCGAAATTACAATAGCCTGTGAACCTCAACAAAACGAGAACTGGAACCCAAGAGAGCAAGGAGAAAGCAAGAAAAGAAACCCTAAAGGTAGTTGTAATGGAAATACATTAGTGGAAAAAGAAGTAATGAAAAATACTCCCTTCCAGTAAAAAGGCAGTTTAATAGGAAAAAAAGCAAGCCTGTCTCGCCCTGAAATTTTTACGTTTTTATTCTGACCCATTTCTATACAGATCATTATAAATTTCTATACAAACTCAGTGTACTTTAAATAGGAAAAATGTAATGAATATATTTGGCAATCTATTGAAAGATAGAAAAGAAATGGGGGGGAACTGAACATCATTATCACACTAAATAACATGACAAGGGCAGGGTTGGAGAAAAGCCCAAATTCTTTGTTTATCTGCATATTTCTCTGCAGCAGAATAAAATCTTTTATTGGCTATTTTTGATACCATGATTACTGTAATTATGAATAGCAATGATAATGAGAAACTCTAAATATGAAAGATGCTAACAAAAAGCTACCCTTAGGTCAAAGGAGAAGAAAAGGAAGGAGATGGACTCTTAATTTCTTTTCTAATTTGGCATCAATGCTGCCTTCAGTTCTAAAACTGAAATATTATTTTCAAGATTAATAATACAAGAGACTAGATTTCAGGTTCTGAGTAGCCAAGAATTTATGCTCCAAATTTAAAAAGCAAGACTGTCAATAAGACCCAGGAGCCGCAGGTTCAGAAGAGAGAACTGCAAGCTTGTGCAACTAGCACAGAAAAATGTGGATCCTTGGCCAAAAGCATGTCAGGACACAGCCTGCAAGACTCGCAATGGCCAGCCTCTGGGAATTTGGTAATATCTGTGAGACTCTAGCAGAGGCAGGGGAGAGAACATGTTCTCACTTTGTTCATTTAGTTACTGAAAATTCATATCATCTTTTCCTTCTGATAGAAGAGGGAGAGCATCTCCCTCTTTTACCCAAGGTCAAAGCTTTCCTCTCCCAGAGAGATTTACTCTGTCAGTTCTGCCTGATCTTTCCTTTATCTCGGCCTCTCCCTCTCTACTCTCATCAGCATTTAAAACATGCTTTAACTCTCCTATCTTAAAAAACAAAAATTCCTTTGACCTCTTATCTCTTCCCCTTCAAACTTCTAGAAAGAACTGTCCCTCTCCCCTTATCTCCCATTCCTCCAATCTATCTTAGGCCCTTCCACTCCTCCGAAATGCCTCTGACCAGAATCACCAATAGCCCACAAGACTCTAATTCCAATGGATGTTTCTATCCTTTTCTTACCAGACAAACCTGGCCACTCCTTCTCAAATATTCTCTGCTTTTGACTTCCATGACACCACTCTCCCACTATTCTTCCTCTCTGGGACCTCACACCCAGTCCCCTAGTGGGCTTTCTCCTTCCTCTGCCTAACCCCCTTAAAAGTCAGTGCTCCTCAGGGCTTAGCCCTTAGCAATTCTGACTACACATTCACCCTAACACTCCAATACACTTTAGAGGTATTAAATATCATCAATATGCTAATGATCCCAAATCTATTTCCAGTCAATACCTCCCTCCTAGGCTCCACATCCACACTTGCAACCACCTCCAAACCTAGACATCTTGTGGGACTTCAAACTCATCTCATCGTGTCTAAGGCAAAAGTTCTCATCTCCAGGGCTATATTATGACTTTTGTGGGCCCAGGCACTTTTGCCTTTAGAGTCTAAAGGGAAGCCAAGTTTTTGCCACCCCAAAATATGACTTTTGAGATATTATTTTAGGTTGGTTATTTTTAACAAACAGCAGACATAGAAGCTCTGAAAACCAAGTAGAAGTTACCCTTTGTAAAAGGACATTTACTTTTGTAAGGGAAATCTCCATTTGTAAACAAAGGTATTTCCCTCGCTGAACCAGGCCTGCCTCCACTATCATGGAGGCATGGATTTATCCGCAGACCTCCATTTACTGTGCTTTTCCTGATCACTTCTCCTAACCTAGTCTCCTCCCCCAACATTTTTTGTCTTTAGCTAAAAGTGGTATTTAAGGTGATGGCTTCCACCATTTTCGCGAGTTACTCCGTTTTCCTGGGTCTCTACCATGCATATAGAAGGTATATAAAGTTATTAAACTTTCTTTGTTTTTCTGCCAAACTGTCTCATAACAATTTGATTAGTAATCTAGCCAGAAGAACCTAGGATAGAGGAAAATTTTTCCTCCCTGACAGGCCCCTTCCTCACAGCTTTCACACAGGCCGTTCCCTCCATCTAGAACATTTCCCACCCTCTTCACCTGGCTGACTCCTCATATTCTTCAGGACTCAGCCTAACCAACATTTCCCTCAGATTCAGGTCTTCACCAGCCTCCAGATGGTTAGGCCCCCAATGCGTATCCCCACCATCCCCGCACCTAAGTAAGACAGTTACAAAGGACAACTTGAATGAATCCTGAATGAAAATCGTCTCAGAGGACTACATACCATTTGTATATCTCAATATAATTATATACAAATTATATTACATACAAATGGTAAAACTACCACGAAAAGGAAGGGATGATGAACATAATTCAAGATAGTGGTTACCTCTGGGATTGATTGGGAAAAGAGATGACTTTGATGATGTTCTAGTCCTGGATGGTGGGTTCACAAGTGTTTGTGTTGTATCTCTTACAATGCTATATATGTATTCTTTTGTATTTATCGAACATTATGTAAAAATCTTTTAAATGTCAGATGAATGCACACATAACTAACCTCCATATTCCCATCAAGAGATTCCCATTTTTCCTTCAAAATGTCCCTGTAAAGGAAAAGCACACTCCTGTGTATCTCCTCTACTCTCAATACTACACTACTTCTGACACAGAACCAGCAATTTTTTGGCACCAACTGAGTGTCCTACAATTTAACTGAATTCTAACATTCTCGACACAAAGAAAGGGTCAGATCCTACAAGTTAAGGATTCACAAGACTGCCTCCTTCCCACCACTTCAGATGTCAATCCCAAAACCAGGTTGCTACCTGTGCTTCTGACTGACAGGCTATACATTAGAGGTTCTCACAACCCCCTCCTTGGGTTCAATGACCTTGGGAGGGCGACTCACAGAACTCAGAAAAAATTTACTTACTAGATTGCTGGTTTATCGCAAAGGATATTAAAGAATATGATTGAACAGCCAGATGAAGAGATACAGCGAGGTCTGGAAGGGTCCCAAGCACAGGAGCTTCTATATCCGTAGCATTTCGGGTGTACTGTTTCCTAGCACGTAGATGAGCTCCTTCCTGTTCACCAACCCGGAAGCTCTCTAAACCCATCCTTTTGGGTTTTTATGGAAGTTTCATTACAAAGGCATGATGGATTAAGCCTTGGCCATTCATTGGTGAGTTGGTTCTCCTGACAACCAGCCCAAGGTTAGATCTTTACAGAAGTCATCTCATTAACATAAACTCAGGTGTGGTCAAAAGGGGTTTGTTATAAATAACAAAAGATACCATTATCAATCTAGTCACTTAAGAAATTCCAAGAGTTCAACATCACAGTCCCTCAGAAAACTTGGTGGGAAAAGCTTTGAATGGAGCTAGGCAGATCTGACTACTCTGTAACTTTGGGCAAGTTAACCCCTCTAAGGCTCAGCTTCCTCATCTTGAAAAATGAGAGTTACATGAGCTACTGCACAGAACCTGCCATGGTGATGATTGCACGTGAAAGTTGTAGGACTCTGGTACTTTTTAGAGCCATATGCAGAGTCAGAGATTGAGCTGGCATGCAGTGCCTTCCCTCTCTTATACCCTCATGTCCTCAGGAATCTGAGCCACCTGAGATCTGGTGCCCAAGTAGCTATAAACAAAGAGGACTCCAAATCAGCACACATCTCTAAGGAAAAAGGCCAGGCTTCTTCCAGGCCCTGAGAGCTGAAAGCAAGCCCAAAGCCCCCACCAAAATCTGTCTGCTGGCTACTCTGTAGAGCCCTGAGGGAGTCTTCAGGGGTGCGAATCTCCCTAAGCAAAACAATAGGACACACACATACATCGGCAAGTTGAGGTTCTGACTTACATGGTGACTACTGTCCAGACAGTGTGGTCGATTCGTTAGTTGGGTCAAAGTTTTCCGAAGAGGAGACAGGAAACACTCCTGGCTCTGGGTCTCACTGCTGGATTTCCGTTTCTTAGGAGTCTATGAGAAAATATTGGAGAAAGTGAAGTCTGGAAGACAAGAGTTCACCACAATGGCAACTAACATTTAAAATACTTATTAAGTGCCAGACACTATGCTAAAAAAACTCTTCATACAAATTATCATGTATCATCTTCAAAGTGATCCTATGTTAAATGTTTATTATCCTTATTAAATAGGTGAGAAAACTGGAGCTTAATGAGGTTAAAGAACTTGCCTGATCTGAGATGGCACACTGGAAGAGGTGAATGAAGTCAATGTATGAGAGTAAGTCCACCAGTGTAGCATGCTGCCCCAAATCTTCACTCCAAAAGCCCCAAAGAATGATCAAGCAATTGTTTGCTTCCCTCTCTGAGTTTCCCAAAGCAGGGACAAGAGTACAGCTGCCCTCAACTTCCAGGCCACCGAAGCCATTCTCCAGTCATTCCGCAGCATGACAGTGAGGACCTTAGTACCAAAAGCATTTTCAGGAGCAATCAGCAGCAGACAGCACCATTTATGACTCAGCTGCACCAAGTGCTGTCCAAGTTCAAGTCTAAAACCCATGTAAGTGGCAAGGAGCAGCCAACGGGCCACCCTCGTAGGTAGAAGAACCCCCTGCACACCAGCAGTGCAACTAGAGAGCAAGCCTCACTGAGCCATGAGGCAAGAGCCCACTTCTACCAGCTTGCCAAGGTATTTGAAGCATCTATGATCCTATAAGGCCCACCTGAAACAGAAACACCAGGCTCCTTCTCTTCTCTCTGTATGCTTTCAGTCACTGCTCCTACTAAAAATTGCCTTCTAGACCTTCCTTAACTAACCTCTTCCTCAAATTTCCAATGGTCAACCCCTTGCTTCTTGAACTGCTGTCTCTGAAATACATGCTGTACTGTCCTATTGATTCTGGTTTACATAGGTCCTGCCCACAGCCAGCTCCAGAAAGCCTTGAAGGTAGGAAGCAGAGCACAAGGCCTAGTCCAAAGTCGAACATACTGTACTTGAGTGTTAGCAGAGATAGAGAGGCACCGCCCCTCCGATCTAGGCCCAAGTGAGCTCTGGACCCTAAGGTAAGCCCAATACAATCTGTTCTGTGACACTGGGCAGGGGACAAAAAGCAAAAGAGCAGGCTGCTACTTGCTGTTGGAGAGCACTTTTTTTCCCCAAGGGAGCCAAAGGGCCCAACCCAACATGCTCTTTTGCTTTGGAGTACTCCCCCTACCAGGAATATTGAGGGTATATTAGCTTCTAGTGAGCACCTTGAGGACAAATACTTTATTGATCTTGTTCAATGCCTCACACATAGTAAGTATTCTTTAATACTGAGAGACTTCTGAAGGTGACTGGGTTCATTCCATGTAACCCCAGAAACCAAGTCCAGGGTTCCTTTCTGCCCAAACACTCCTGCATCCCCAACTTCCCTATCCCCTTGAAGGCAGAAACTCACCACTGCCCCAGGCTGCCAGTCTTCATCATCAGAGGATCTGCCTTCTGGTTTTCTCTTGGCCAGCTGGCTGGGAGCTAAGCTCCTCCTCTGAAAGGAGAGAATGGAAACTGAGCACCTGCAGGAATCCTACAGCCTGAGCGCATTTAGGTCCAGACAGACTACACACTTACCATCCTAGACCCAGGAGGATAAAATGTCAAGTACCCATCAGCCAAAAGTCAAAGGCACCCAGTAGCTGAGAATACAGAACCAGGACCTGGTAAAGAGCTGGCTGCTATGTTAGTGAGAGCATGGGCTAAAGAGGGAGCGTGGAGGGAATTCAGCCAGGGGCTGGGGTTGAGCTCAAACTGTCTGTCGTCAGTTAGATCAGGCGGCAGAGAAGGCCAAGAGGAAGTATCCAAGAGGAGGTGAGTTCTAGGATGGGGGGATAGGTGGACTACCAGGCTGGGCAGAGTACAGCCAGGATAATGGTCCTACGTGGGCGTGAAGGGAGAGCGCAGCTGTGAGGGTAAGGGGAAATCACAGGCCAGGAGAGAGAGGCCGGGGTGAAAATCAGAGGCCTGGGGAGGACGAAGAGCCCGAGCCCGGAGAAGGGGGATTTCCCAGGTCTGGAGTGCAGAGAGGCTCAGACTGAGGGAAGTCCAGCAGGGATCCAGACAGGACAAGTAAAAGACCCGGACTTGGGAGGGGAACCTCAGGCAGGGCTGAACAGAGCGGCAGAGATGAATTCGGCCCCAGCACTCCCGCTTAACCTTCCTCTTCCCAAAGCGCGCGTTAACAGCCGCCCGGGCTCCTAGGCCCCACCAGGCTCAGTGAATCGAACCTCCCGCGGTGCTGCCGCCACGCCACCCATTGGCTGCGTTCGATGCGTTCGGCGCTCGCGACCCAAGGAAGGGGTGGGCCTAGTGATGCGACCGCCGAGGGACCTGAGCAGTGGAGCTGAGGAGGCCAAACGGACTTTCCAGGAGGTGGGATTTAGGCGGAAGGGCGGGGCCAACAGTGGCGGGAGCGGTTGGCCAGGTGGGCGGAGCGAGTGAGCCCGGCAGGATTTTTGTGCCTATTGGCGGGACTCTAGTTCTAGTCCCCGGGCGTTTTTGTCGGAGGCAGGTGATCTGCGCCAGCCGCACCTCTAGTGAAGGTTTTCACTGGGCTGGACCGCGAGAGATGCCCACCTGTCTGCAAAAATCTGAGCGTTATAAAAGGAGACACAAGTCTGCATCTCCCATAAGCCTGACCTGGAGCGGAGGTCCGGTTTGGAGTCAGACCTCGCCATCCCCGGGGCAGGGGGGTGGGGGCGAGGGGGAAGTCATTCGGTCTGCTCCGGCAGTAAGAGACCCCAGGGGACGTGTTCTTTTTGGTCCGGGGTGTCTTGGAGGAAGTTGCCTTTTGCTAGACAAAACCGGGTTTTGGAATTTGGGGGGCACTTAATAACTCAAAATCTCTCAACCTGTCAGTTTCTTCATATCTAAAATGTGCATTATATTAGTACCTTCTCCCATAGGGTTATTCTGAAAATTAAGTAATTTAATGTGTTTAAAGTATTCAACCTAGTGCCATGCACAACCTAGGTGCTCACTAATAATTATAAGAGTATATACATAACACTACTAGGCACTTCCAAGATACTTAGATAATTCGTTTAATGCTCACAACTATGAGGTTTATTATTGTCCCTTTTTATAGGTGAAGAAACAAACTCAGAGAGGCTAATACCTTGTCCAAGGTCACACACCTAGTGAGACTAGCCAGATTTGAATTTAGGCAATCGGACTCCAGAGTCATTGCTCTTAACTACCATGCTGTGTACGGTAAGGAGGAGTAGAACCTGGTTTTATGGAACTTAAAGCTTTCCTAAGTACTTGTTGAAACAAGCTGAAATTAGATACACATACTAATATTTCTTTAGAATGAGAAAAAAAGAACACCCAATATGGTCCCTTTCTTCTGAAATCTCTCTAGGCAATTTATCAGAAATGCATCCTGTTGCAATCTGGCTTCTCCAGAATTAGAACACTGATTACAAATCCCCAGTTAACTTCCAGCACTCCCAGGGGCTGTGCAGGTGGGCCCTGAAGCTTGCCTTTACTGCCTTTGATGGTAACTATTACTATTTGGGGGGTAAAGGATGATAACTTTTTATTTACTGAGTTTTTAAAATTAAACTATTTTGAGATAATTGCAGAGTCACATACAGTTGTAAGAAATAATACTGAGAGGTCCTATATACCCTTTTGCTGATTTCCCCCAGTGGTAACATCTTGCAAAACTATAGTACAACATCACACCAGGATATTGATAACAACACAGTCAAGATACAGAACATTTCCATCACCACCTAAGAATCCCTTCTGTTGCCTTTTTATAGCCACACCCACTTCTCTTCTACCTCTACCCTTTTTTAAATCTGGTTATCTGTTCTCCCCTTCCAGTTTTGTCATTTCGACAATGTTATATAAATGGAATGAAATAATATGTAACTTTTTTAAAGTGGCTTTTTACACTCAGCATAACTGTCCAGAGATTCACCTAGATTGTTGCATGTATGTGTATCAATATTTTTATTGCTGAATAGTATTCTGTAATATGATGTACCCCAGTTTATTTAGCTATTCACATTGTTGAAGGACATCTGGGTAGTTTCCAATGTTGGCTATTATGAACTGCTATAAGCGTTCACATACAGATATTTGTGTGAACATGTCTTCATTTTCTGAGATAAATGCCCAGGAGTGCAATTGCTAGGTTCTAGAGTAATTGCATGTTTCGTTTTTTTTTAAATGACACATTGTTTTCTAGAGTGGCTGTCCATTTTACATTCCCACCAGGAATGTATGAGTGATCCAGTTTTTCTGAGTCCTCACAAATTTGGTGTTGTCACTTTTTTTAATTGATTTATAATTGACATATATAGTTTCGGGTATACAACATGATTCTATATTTGTATAAGTCTAGTTAACATGTCACCGTACGTCGTTACAAATAACTTTTTTCTTATGAGAACTTTTAAGATTTACTCTGTTAGCAACTCTCAAATATGCAATACAGTATTATTAACTGTAGTCACCATGTTGTACTTTATCTCCACATGCCTTATATATTTTATAACTGGAAGTTTGTACCTTTTGACCCCTTCTCCCATTTTACCTTCTCCCCTACCTGCTAATTTTTATTTTAGCTATTCTGATAGGTGTGAAGTAATAGCTCCTTGTGATTTTAATTTGCATTTCCCTAATTGCTAATGACATTGAACATCTTTATGTGGGGTTATTCGACATCTGTATATCCTCTTCAGTGAAATGTCTCTTCACATCTTTTGCCAATTTTCTAATTGGATTGTTTGCTTTTGAGCTTGCTTTATACAGGCATATCTCAGAGATATTGCAGGTTTTGTTTGAGACCACCACAATAAAGTGAATGTCACAATAAAGTGAGTCACATGAATTTTTTGGTTTCCCAGTGCATATAAAAGATATCTTTACATTATAGTCTATTAAGTATACGATAGCATTATGTCTGAATAAACAATGTACATTCCTTAATTTAAAAATACCTTATTGCTAAAAATGCTATCATTTGAGCCTCTTAGAAAAATGTGCCAATAGACTTGCTCAAAGCAGGTCATACCTATCCCAAAGCAGCTGCATCCAGTGACTGAGAGAACAGAACTATAAAGTCCTAGCCATTTGGGCCCAAAGTGTATACTCTGACAAGCAATAAATGATCCAGAGCTCCCCACTAGGTTGGCTGGGGCTTCACAATTTGACTTCTTCCTTTGCCGATTCCTGCTTCTATACCCCTCTCACAGGTGTTGATCACTAATGAATATCTGGCACCCCAAATTCCACCTCAGCTTCTGATTCCAGAGAACCCAACCTAAAAAACTCACATTCTCTCAGCCACATATAACTGCAAAAGAAGCTGGAAGATATAGTCTTCATTCCAGATAGTCATGTGCCATTTAAAAATAGGGAGTTCCATTATTGATGAAAAAGGGATGCCACAGGCGCTCTTTGTGGGGTCTAAGTTCAGAAAGGGGCAGAGACTCCCCGAGGAGGCAAAAGAGATTTGGGGCACTTAGTAAATGTAGATTTTATTTCACCACGTGAAAATTAAGTATTTCTGGTTCTGGTTTCCAGTGATGGCAGATAAGTTCATTCAGACTAACCCTCTCATAAATAACAACTACAAAATCTTGAAAAAAAGTTGAAGGCATTGGAGAGTGGCCAAAAGTAGGCAGAAACAGGGTAAAATACCCTTGAAAAACAACTGCAACTGGTGCGATTAATGAATCTGTGGCCTTTTGCTGAGAGCATTCCTCAATCTGCAAGCAGCTTTGGTGGAAAAAAAGACAGCTTTATTGCCTTGAGGCGTCAGAGAACAGAGTTTGGGGCAGGCAAATCAACCACAAAGAGTTAGATAGAAATTTTGGAAAGGAGAGTATCAGAGGAGGTGAGCCCCAACATTGTCTAAAAGAATCCCCCCAAATTCTTGACTGCTAACCTACACGTGCTCAGGGTTAACACCAGGCAGCCCAATTAAAAAAAAAAAAAAAATAGCAGCTAGAGGTAAAAGAACTAGGTGAGGATTTCAGCTTTTGCCCACTGCTGTTGAGAGAATTTGGAGTTAAAGTCTAGCCAAGTTAGCATCCTGCAAGAACAAAAACCATTCTTTAAAGGAACATAACCATCTAGAATCCTGCAACATATTCATAATGTCCTTTATCTAACAAAAAATAGACAAGGAAGAAACAAAAAATGAGACTCATTCAGTTATTAAAAACTTCCCCCAAGAAGACACATGTTAAAATTAGACAAGAATTTTAATGCAGCTGTTATTAATAGTTTCAAAGACATAAAGGAAAATGTATGCCAGTGAAATACCACTACATAGCTATTAATATAGCTAAAATTTAAAAGCCTGATAATACTAAGTGTTGTTAAGGATGTAGAGCAATTGGAACTCACATTGTTGATTGGAGTGTAAAATGGTACAAGCATTTTGAGAAAAAAGGTTGGCAGTTTCTTATTGTACTTGCCATATGATCCATCTATTTTACTCCTAGGTATTTATCTAATAGAGATGTTTATTACAGAAACAAGTGTTCACAAAAATGTACATAAATGCTCACAGAATCTTAATTCATAAGAGCCCCAAACTAGAAACAACCCAAATGTCCATCAATAGGTGAATGGATCAACAAAATTATGGCATATTCATACAATGCCACAAATTGTAGCATATTCATACAATGAAATACTACTCAGCAGTAACAGGTAATAAACTCCTGATACATACAACATTTATGAATCTCAATAACATGATGCTGAACAAAAAAAGCTAGACATAAAAAAATATATATTGTATTATTCTACTTACATAAAATTTTCAAAACAAAGTTAATCTTTATTGATACAAAACAGATCTATGGTTGCTTGGGGCCAGGACAGTAGAAAGACTGACTGCAAAGGGGCATGAGATAAATTTTTGAGGTGATGAAAGTGTTCTACATATTAATTGTGATGATGATTACATGAGTAGATACATTCTCAAAACTCATCAAAGTGGTCTCCTTTTATTATATGTAAATTATACCTCAATAAATCTTTTTTTTTTTAGTAAAATGAAAGCAAAATAGACAATTTCAGATCAATAAGAATAGACAATCATACTAAGCGAAATAAGCCAGACAGAAAAAATTGAAAATCACATGATATCACTTATATGTGGGATAGAAACCTAAAAGCAACAAATGAACAGGACAAACAGAGACTCGTAGACATGGACAATAGACTGACTAGTGGTTACCAGAGGGGAGGGAGGAGG